ACACCTGGCCCTCCCTGCACTGTGTACACACCTGCAAGGTGCCATTATGGCTTACGTGTGTCTCATCAGGACAAAAAAGCTGAGAATCGTGGCCCTGTGTGTTTGAGCTTAGTAAAACCAGGAGACCTCCAATTATATGATTTTTTTCAAACTGTCTCTCAAGCACTTCTTGAGTGTGCCTCTTGGAGTCTTCCAGGAATTATCTGCCTATATTTGGACCTCCGTCTGGTCGGGTTTCTGTGGGTGGGCTCTGGAGTGCTTTCACCTCCTTCACAGAAACACCCCTCACTCCCACCTCCCATTCCCACCCCCACACATACACAGCCGCAACTAGCCTGCCATCAGTCCTTGACTAAAAGGGCAATCACTTGTTGTCTTTCTCTTTTTATTTTCCCCCAAGTGGATTTGCTTTCACCTTCTGGTTAAAATCTATCTCAGAAGATACTGGATTTTACTGGTCCTTTTAGGTCACCTCCAGTCATCCTCAGTAACATATTTGGCCACCAGTTTGCAAGTGTGAACACACACACACACACACACACAACTGCCCTTTTACCACTGCTTTGAATACAAAGAGATGCTCATTCAAGGCCATTCTTTTCCCCTAAATAACTGTAGTTACCTCCTAACTAGTCTCCCTACCTCCAGGCCAACTTCTCTCCATTCCTGGTAAGAAGGAAACATACCCATGAGACATCTCAGGATGTTGGTTACAGACATCATGTCCTCTAAGTGTATAGTGGTATAAAGGAGGAGCAGAGTCTTTGGAGCCATGTAGACATGAGTTCAAACCAGCTCCATCCTCTGTGACCTGTGTGACCTTTATCACCTTTGGGCATCAGGATCTTCATCAATTAAAAGGAATAACAAGCTCTACCTCCCAGAGTCTTTATGACAATGAAGTAACAGTGCCTGTAGAGCAGTTAGCATTGTGTCTAACGCAGAGTAGGGGTTTAACAAACATTACCCCCCTACTCTTCTTCTGTTAGCGGTAGTAAGGGTAGTGAGGGCATTGGCAGGGGGCATGAAAGGACAGTTGCATTTTTCTTCATGTGACCTTTCCTTATGAAACACTGGTAGTACTAGCACCTTATCAGTTGGTGCTCCCCTGCTGAAAACATCTTGGTATTCTGCCAATAGAATTGGAATCCTGCTTAAATTTATTTTCAACATAATCCTATGGAGGGGTGAGAGGAAAAGGGAAGGAGGGGTAAAATCAGTGGTGAACAAAATAACTTTATAAAAGAAAAAAAGAGGTTGTAAGTAAATTACAGTTAGCTTGGTCTCTTTCAGTTACTTTGATTCTGTTGCAAGGTTACCATATAAGACATGGGGGATGCCTTTTCCCTGACAACTTTCCTTTGATAAGCTGAATAGATAGATCAGAGAGCACTTTTTCTCTGTCCTCCCAGCAATCATTTCTTACCTTAATAAATCCAGGGGGACATTCCAGTGATTTTTCTCTAGTGGAATTTTGCCAAATAGACAAATAACATTTCCTGCCCACAAGATTGTAAGAGAACGCAGAGCCTTCCTGTCATTAGTAAGGCAGTGAGTGAGTCAATTCTGCTGAACGCTGAAGAAAAAGGGAAGACCTAAATGAGTATTTCTCTCTTCCGCTAAAACTTTTCAGTTTAATCCCTCCCTCCCTGTCCAGACCCCAATTGTTTAGAGAGGTGTTTGCTGGGTTCACATTTATTCAGCAGTAATGATGTTGGAAATCAAAAGGAATGTTCCTTTGCAGTTTAGCACTCTCAAGGATGAAGCATTTTCATTCTTGCTATAAAGTATTGGGTGAGTCCATTTTTATGTAAATGATGTTGGTGGCCAGAAAACATTTAAGAAGTCCAAGGGTATTGACTACTTGGTGGCAAGACAGACATCCCTTCTCCATTTCCCACTCACAATGCCCTGACATTCAGGCATCTTCTCTGTGGTAGGCAGCAGTTCTTCCATGAATGGAAAGTAAAGCTGGATGCCTTACACAGAGTTGTGTCTTGTAGAAAATGTATTACAACCACTTTAGCACATCTCTCGGCAATGGGCCATTCATGAAAATATGACAATGGCTTCCTTAGATAAACTGCATATTTCACAAGGAATTTGGTTCCAAGGGATTTTAATCATGGCTCAGCGATGGCATTGCCCTGCCAGAGAGCATAGACGTCTTTTCTTAGGGAATTAGGATAGTCTGCCCTTGCTGTCTGGTGATAGGGATCAGCCACAGCTGGTCTTTCTGAACTATATGTCAATCTCAAGTTCAGTTTTGGAAAGGGAGATGAGAGAAAATTTGTGGGTGGAGGACTGAAGACTACAGAAATGGCCTCAACGCTAGTTTTTATTCAATAAGTGAATTAACTTTTTTCTCTAACTCTCATTGACAAGGTATATAACATACTTTTTTTTTATCCATCACAGGCCATGTCCCTCTGTAGCTGACCACAATTCCTCTGATGTGCCTTCACTTTAAATCTACCCATTCTCCTGTTTTCTCTTCCAGGTAGCTATAGACTTCACCGCCTCCAATGGGGACCCCAGGAACAGCTGTTCCCTGCACTACATCCACCCTTACCAGCCCAACGAGTACCTGAAGGCCTTGGTGGCTGTAGGGGAGATTTGCCAAGACTATGACAGGTACGAGGCTTTTGGTCGGCTCCGGCCTTGTCATCTCTCTGTGGGTTCTGAGGACCCCTGGCTAATCCTTGGCAGAAGAATGAAAATTAAGTCTAGCAGCTCATCACCCAGAGGCTCATGCAGGGACAGAATAAAACCTTACCCCAAATTTAGAGAGACTAAGTCCATGCCATGTTCACCTTAGTTATTGAAAAAAATATTTTTCTCAGATTTATTTCATTGTTTTTGAAAACCACTGGATAGCAATATTGGTTTTCCAAAGTTTTAATATGTGACTTGCTCCTCAAAGTTTGGTCCATGAGCTTGCAGCATCACCTTGGCGTTTAGTTGCTCAAACCCCATTTCAGGTCTGCTGAATCAGGATCTGCATTTTAGCAAGAACGCCAGGTGATTTGAGTGCACTTTCGAGCTTGAAAAGCACCCGTTTATTGGACATTATTGCATCTAGTCCTCATATTAGCCCCTACGTAGTAGGTATTACTTAACAGAAAAGGGAAATTGTTCAAGGAGATTGAGTCGCCTGTGCCCTGTCCCACAGCCAGAGGCAGGACTTGAACCCAGATTTATCTCATTCCATAGCTTAAGCTCACAATCACTGTATTTCACTGACCTCTAAAGATATTGGTAACTTTAGCAAAGGGTATGCGTCTGCCCACGTCTGCCCACATACACTTACATGAGCCCATCAAGTGTTGTAGGAAACATAATTTTGAGATCAGATAGATATTATATTTATTTTTACTTGATGGTAAATACTGACCTTTCCCACTAAGATAATTCCCTATAAGAAATTATTTGCAGAAATAACATTAAATTACATTTATTCTGCATTTCCAGTATTTTCAGGTTGAGATGAAGTTCTCCATGTGTTTGTTCAAGAGGGCTTTTTGAAGTCGAACCAATGTAAATATAAATTTGGAGAAATCCCAAGTGACTCCCCATTGTGATTATAAAAGAAACCTAGTTAATAATGAGCAGCAACTAAATGACTGATCTTTTAAGCCAATAAAATAATGAAAGCAATTCTATCCTCCAATTTCAGAGAAAATTTAGGGGGTAGCATGATTTCTGTTCTGTCTAGTCTCATAATTAATAAGCATATTAAAAACAAAAACAAAAAAAACCAACAACTATGGTATCATAGAAAATGGCACAAGTCAGAAACCAATAGGACCAGTATGCTTCCTGCAGGCGAGTCTCTGGATTCTGCACGATCATTGCCAGTAACTCAGATGGGAATGAGGGGGGGTTGGGAATGAATGGGCAGTCCAATAAAATCAAAGAGCTTTCAACAGCCCAGCCAGTGTTATTCAGTGGCACTCAATTCCCAGTCAGGACACATGCCCAGGTTGTAGGCTCAATCCTCAGTAGGGAGCATGATTCCCTCTCATCACTGATGTTTCTATCTCTATCTCTCTCTCTCCCTTCCTGTCTCTGAAATCAATTTTTTTTTTAAAATAAAAAGAGCTTTAAATATGTGGGCTCTTTCTGACACTTCCCCTCCTAAACATTTAGAACAGAGGGCAACAGCATTTCCATGACCTTATTGAAGTGATACTTTTTATATATAATCTTGAGATAGGGAGTATGAATTTCAGCTTTGATTTCCTTAGGCCCAAAATACAGGGAGGATCCCTAAAGAGGTTCATAGCATATGGAGATTTCTACCACAAAAAAAAGAAGAAAAAGAAGAAAGACAGCTGTGAAATTGCATCTCCAGTGTTAGGAACTTCCTAAACATACTCAGCACACCAAAACAGTAATTCTCACCCTTCTTTCTGTCTCTCTCTGTCATTTCCTCTCAACATACACAAATAATCTAGGATAATTATATATATAAAAGCCTAAGTGACCAGACAACCAGATGGTACTATGACGTAAACTGACCACCAGGGGGGCAGATGCTCAATGCAGGAGCTGCCCCCTGGTGGTCAGTGCACTCCCACAGTGGACACACCACTCAGTTGATCAAGGGAGCCAGACTTCGAGCTTACTGCTGGCAAGCACAGCTGTGGAGGGGCAAGCCTCTCCTGCAGACACTCCCCCTACGTGCCGGAGCTGTGGTGGTGGCAGGCGCAGGGGGGTCTGGCCTGGGCTCAGGCTCCCCCCAGCCACCTGCTGCTTTGCACACTACTTTGTGCTGTGTGGGATTGACATGGGCAGTGGGCTGGAGCCCAACGAGCTGGAAGGTAAGGCCGGGCTGTGGTGGCACAGAGATCCACTGATCCACACAGGCCAGGCCGAGGGACTCCCCCCTTCCCCCAGTACATGAATCCATGCACCAGGCCTCTAGTATGTACGTAAAAGATAAGGAGAAAAGGGGAAAATATCTTCAAGAATCTTATTAACTTTTAAACTTTTGAAATGCTTATAAAAGAAATAAAGTAGGTAAATGCATTTGATACATGTTTCAAACAATAGGTGCTTAATAACAGAGCTGACTCGGACTCGGCAGGGGAGAAGGTTGTATAAAAATGAATTCCAAAAAGGAGGTTGGTAGGTTGTCTGAAAATAACATGCTGCCTGTCAGCACCCTCACTGTGGCCCCTGGCAGTCTTGCTGGGTGGCCTGGAACAGGATGCTAAACCTCTCTGTTTCTTTGATGGCCTTGCAGGCCAGATGTGGAGACTCTGATTAGAGTGAGCCGCACATCTTTTAGCGTTGTTATCCCTTCATAATGTGAGCCAGAGTCTGGGGAGCATTTTGCATTCCTTCAGAATAACGGAATCAGAACAAAAATAAGATATGACACCTTAGGGGTTATGTGAAAAATCGTGATTCTCTTTAACACCTTAATAGGATAATTCTTAAGTTATGGGCCCCAAGTGGCCAAGAAAATCGGCTTTCTTCGACTTAGTGGAGCACATATATATGCATGTGAATGTGTCAGCTCAGCATAAAAATGAACAAACACCTAAGGAAGAAAAGGAGGATTGGAAAGCCTGGGCACTCTTTGCAAAGACTCCCTAGCAGACTGTGTAAAGCAAGCTGCTCCCTTGAAAACTGACAAGTGCCCGCAGTTTCTCCTTTGTGTGGGCGGGTAGGCAGTAGACAGGCAGAGTAAGGGAATTTCAAGCCTGGGCTTTGGAATTATTTTTTCCTCACATCAAAGTCAGTGGGGTGGATGCTCAAAATGAAACACTTGCACAAAAACTGACAGAAGGCACTGTTCCCCCTCCTGCGGAGACACAGAGGTTTTGCAATCCCCAGGAGCCTTAGAAATTCCTGCCAGCCTCTGACAGCCAAGGGGTTTCTTTCTGTCGTGTACAGTCATTGCTAACAGGTCCCCACGAGGGGATCCGTGAAGTAGAACAGCTCCAGAGATGGTAAAGGCTCTTCTCGGGGTGGCCTTGAGGGACAGCTCCTTCCAGAAACCTGGTCCTCAAACCCAGAAGGCAATCCTGCCAGCCTGGTCTGGGTCTGGGCCCCGGGAAGACACCACCACTCATTCTCTCCTAGGTGATGCCACAAACACAAGCACACACATGCACATAGGCACATACATACACATGCATGCAGATGTACACAGGCACACATGCGCGTGTATAGACACATTCACACGTGCACGTGGATGTGCACACATGCATACACACATGCACAGCTCATATATTCCCAGTTGGTTGTAGTACTTGCCCAGTTCCTGGCAACAACTTGGTCTCCTCCAGCTGCTCAAGGCCAAGATGATATCCACCCCTTGGGCCCACTGAGATGTGCCTTTGACCCCTGCAATATCCTCTATTGAAAAAGCTGATCTATCTGCCATCAAGAGAGTATAGACATTGACTACATTGCTTGGAAGTACAGACTGCCATTTTACAGATGTGGCCGCCCCAGAATGAGACAAGGACATCAGAAATCGAGGCAGCAGGCTTCTTCCATGATGTAGAAGTACCAGAAGTGGTACTTCTACCACTGGGTGCAGTACGGGGAGACAAGGTTAGAACTGAAAGCCAGTCTGAGCGGTTTTTGAGTGTGGAGGACCAGTGTAAAAATCAGAAAGCGGATTACAACCACAGCGATACCTTTCCATATCCTACCCACACCAGTCAGTGCTTCTCACCGTGGCCACGTGCTGGGACCGCTTGGGTAGTTTTAAAATATGCAGATGCCTTCGCTCCACCCCAGAAACTCTGATTTAGTTAGGCAGGTGTGCATCCTGGGGGAATCGGGAGTTTTCATTCTAATGGGTATCCAGAGCTGAGACCCAGAGTTCAGTCAGGAGAGATGGGTTCACTGAAATAGCGAAGAGCCCTTGCAGGACCTCTAGGTGCAGGCACCTCAGATGGGGCCCTGAAGACAGACAGAAATTAACAGAAGACCAGTTTCCCCCCAAGCAGTTCACAGTCTCATGGGAGAGAAAGGCATGTACGTAGATCCTAGCCCAGCGTGGCCAGAGCAGCTCTGTCCCTTGTAAGAATGGGGACGGCATGAGGAGGGCAGGGTTAGCCCTTTCTACTGTGGGAAGGTGGTCAAGAGGGCCTCCTGGGGAGGGTGAATTATGCTAATTTTGTCTTTTGTTGCTTTTAGTACATGGATGGACTTACTCTTGTTATTCTGAGTCATTAGACCAGACCAAGCTCCCTGGGAAGGCTAGTCCACAGAAGTGATAGGAAGAGCACTGGGTCCCGGTGACAGGTGGACCTGGGCTCAGACCCCAGCTCTGCTGCCTCTGTTCTCCTTAGGTTGACATTCCACAGGCCTTGGTTTCCTTGATTGCAAATTAAAGATTTACCTAACTTCCCTTGCAGAGCAGTTGTAAGGATTAGATATTAAGTCATTAGCTAGCACAGAGATGTGAAGTTCTGCATAGGGAATATAGTCAATAATATTGAAATAACTCTTTATGGTTCTAGGTGAGTACTTGAATTATCACGTGGACTGTAAGTTATACAATTGTCTAACCACTATGCTGTACATCTGAAAATAATATAAAATGTCAACTCTAATTACAAAATAAGATTTTAAAAAATAAGTGTATTTAGCAAAAAGAATAAGTAAAGTAGCTAGCACAGGTTCTGCCTGTTGTAAATAATAACTAATAGAGGCTATTTAATACTCAATTTATTTTTTAAAATAAACCATACACAACAGGGGAAAGAACTAGCGTGTCAAATATAAAGGTAACTTTGGACCGATGACCTTTAAAAAATTGGCTTGTATACCCCTAAAAAAGAATTTTGTAAAAATACATCACCTTCACACATTTTTACATTGAAATCTAATGTTTTCCATCATGAGTTTAAATGTGATAAAGAATGAAAGTTCTAATGTATTATAAATATGGACATTTAAAATAAAATTCTTATGTAACTTTGTGAATGCGTCCAGGAGAATCTAAATGCCATAGCTATTTGATACCTACCATCATCCATTTTAAAAATGTATGAACAAGCTTTCCATTTTGAGTTGAGAATCTTGTTCTTTCTTTGTCGTGAACTCAGATTTCCATTTCCTTCCTTCACAGAATTCATCATAATGTACCCCAAATTTTGTTTTGAAATTCTTTTCTTGATCACTATATCATGCATTTCTATTATAAATATGTGAATATAAATATTTAAATTTCCTTTGATGAAAATATTCAAAATACTTTAAAACATCTTCTATGTATGATAATTTAGTTTTTAATATAATTATTATTAGTGCACAATTCACCAAAAGAACATAAATATATTACAAGTTGTAATATCTAAGTATTGCCTATAAAAACTCTTAATGAAATAGGTTGGGGTTTTTTTCATTAGTTTACTAATCTGTAGATGAATGCCAGCTATTACTAGAATGGGAAAATCTAGCTTCAATTTTAATCCAAATTTTGTTTTGTCAATGTGAATGCTAAGGAAACTTGTTCTTAAAAGTATTTGGTAATGGAAAGAGTTTTACTAGAAGTACTATTCAATTCTAAGTTATATATCAAGAATTGCCCTAACCGGTTTGGCTCAGTGGATAGAGCATTGGCTGAAGGCTGAAGGGTCCCAGGTTCGATTCCAATCAAGGGCATGTACCTTGGTTGTGGGCACATCCCCAGTAGGGGGTGTACAGGAGGCAGCTGATTGATGTTTCTCTCTCATTGATGTTTCTAACTCTCTATCCCTCTCCCTTTGTCTCTGTAAAAAGATTAATAAAATGCATATTTTTAAAAAATCATATAGTGGTCTATTATCAAAATACATTTTAATCACCTATCATCTGACATCAGCACTCTTACAATTTTTTAAAGCAAAAATTGGCAACTACCTGACTTGCAAAAGGATTTGTTTCCTAGTGAATCATTTTCATTTAGAATTGTTCCTGTAGGGTTTTTACATTCTGAATCTTCACCACCACCCTGCTGGAGCAAGGCACTGTGGTGGTTAAAATTCAGAATGAGTGAAGGAGAAGTGTAATTATAAAAGGGAAGGGAAGGGAAGATGGGAGTGGAGAATTGGTCTTTCCATCACAGGTTTTCCCAGAAGATAATTTCAGCAAAGAATACATAGAGAAGTTCAGAAATTGAACACTGATTTCCTTAAAAGAAAAAAAGAAAAAAAAACTTTCATATCCACAGTAGGACTTTGCATTTTTGCCTTTCCAAGTACCCCAATTTTAAGAGCACTATTTTATTAAATGTCTAGGTGTTCTGAAATGCCATTTTGCTCTGAGTTTATCTCCATTTTCTTGTGCACGCCATAATTTCTCCTTATTTTTATTAACCTCTTTTCTTTGTCTCAAAGCCTTCCTGACAGGGAGGGTGAAAGTGGTGGTTGAGAATGAATCTTCCATCCGGAGACCGTGGCCATTCCCTAGGAAGTCAGGACAGCAGGCCCATTAGCATTGAAGACCATAGGCTCTTTTAATGCATTTTGTAATATTTTATTCCAATAGGAAGAAATATTGCCTTTACCAATGTGGTGATATGCCCCTGATTTTTCCATATTGTCAGGTTTCACCAGTCATTTTTCCAATGCTTACTAAGTGGCCCCCTTCACTCAGTACGAGTGAGTCCAATCTCTTTTTCTTTAAGTTCTTTTTCTTAAAGATTTAAAAAATTGGTTTTGAGAGAGAGAGAAACCTGGAGTCAAACCATCAACCCCCTGATGTACAGGATGACACCCAACCACTGAGCCATACCAGCCAGGGTTCGAGTTCTTTGACAGGCTGGCCTGCGGATGCTCACTTGTGTGTGCAACTTGCCTTCTCTTGCCTCTTACCTAAGACTCCTCTATGCTTGGTTTTTATTTTTAATCTGGAAGAGCAATGTTCAGATTCATTGTGCGTAGGCTTGAAATGTTTCCCTTACTGTGTTTATTAGCTAGAGTCTTTGTGATGGCTAACTTCAGAGAATTCCTGTCCTTCTGGCTCATTAATTATTTCTCTTGTAGGCCAGGCATTTTTTTTCTTCCTCCCTACGCTTCAAACTCAGTTACATAACAATTCATCATGCTCAGCAAATTTCATATTTCCATGGGTGGCTTAGAAGGTATAGAGAAATATCATTAAGGCTACAACACTGGTTTGGCGATTAGAAATGGAAGAAGCCCTGGCCAGTTTGATTTGGTGGATAGTGTCAGTCCATGCACTGAAGGGTTGCAGGTTCAATTCCAGTCAAGGGCATGTACCTAGGTTGCAGGCTTAATCCCCAGCCCAATCCGAATATGTGGGAAGCAACCAACCAATGTGTCTCTCTCACATCTCACATCGCTGTTTCTCTCACTATGTCTCTCCCCCTCCCTCTCTAAAAATCAATGCAAAAATATCTTCAGGTGAGGATTAACAAAAAGAAAAGAAAAAGAAATGGATGGTATATTGGGTCACACCCCTCCTAAACTCATTAAAGAAGAAAATAAAGGGTATAGGTGTTTCTCTGTTTTGACTGTGAACCATCTCTGAGTTTGAAGAACCAGGATCCATCCTCCATCCAGGAAAGCTTTCTTCCAGACTTACCTAGAAAATACCTCTGAAATTCCCAGACAGATTTCTTCCCACACCTCCTGGCCCTTGTTGTGGTTAAGGACGAATTGCTGAAGCCAAGTATTTCCAAGGACCAGAAGTATTTTTTTTTTTCAAAGCTGTGGCTAATCCTTTATAAGCTGTTGTCAATTTTTATTTATCAGCATTAATACCTTTTCTAATACACACTAGATGCAATGTCCCACAAAACTCATATCTACACAACCGTGAGGAAAAAGAGGAGCTGGTGATTTTCCAGAGAATTAAGTCTTCGATTTCAAAGAATTCTGGCTTCCTTGTATCCCCAAATTTGATCAAATCAGCTGTGTTTTGGTAAAGTTTTATCAAAGCCATTATTGGCTACTAATTATCTTTAAATCAGACAGATAGGGGATGGATGAGAATCTGACTTCTCACTCAGCCTCAGGGGCTAGGAGGGTCCCTTTTGCTTACTGAGATGCTCTGGGACAATGAGAACTACCCTGGATTTTCTTTTCTTTTCAACTACACGGAACTGAGACAAGAAGGAATTGTTCCAAGAAGGAATCTGTTGTGTTTTTTATGGGAGAGAAAGTGGATTTTAATAACCCTGTGGATTCAGACATTATTTGGGTCACAAATGTATGATAGTTGACACACAAGTGCCATGAGAAGGACACACCCTCTGACAAGAGCCATAAGCCAGAGCCCCCATTGCAACAATCCTCTGACAGCACAAAATTTGCCTAAGGATAGATAGTCTTATTTGTTGTCTGGTGGGGGAAGAAGGGTTGTTGCTGGAAGTGACAGAAGGAAATCATATTTAATGCTGTATATAACCATTGCATTATAATGGTGTAATAGAAAAAGGATGGTCTTTCAAATCACACAATCCTCCCTGGGAAGCACCTTAGGGTTTCTGAGACTTTTTTAGTCTTTCTGAGACTCAGTTTATTCATCTATAAAATGGGAATATTAAGTAGGTGAAATTTCCAGGGTTGCTTGAGAATTAAATGAGGACATGCATTGCCTAACATAGTTAAGAGTTAAGATATAGCATACACGAATGAATAAATTGGGAGAAATTTCAAATTGTATAAGAGAAACCAAGCCAAAAGATACATAGGTTTTCACAAGATTTTTTTTCTTCTTTATATGGCCACATCTTAATCATTCAATTCATGCATTATCTCATCATTAAATATTTATTGAGCACACAGTCTATGACCAGCATTACCCTGAAGGTAGGGGCAAGGGGCAATCTGAGGGAGGGAGGCAGTAAAAATATAAAGATATGAATACAAAAAACAGCATTCCTTTGAATTCAGGAGACAAGAAAAGACAGGTAAACAATTTATTGCTGCTTGTATGAGATAAAGAAATGGATACAATGAGTTCTGTCGATGCATCCGAGTTCTGTCAAGCTTTCTATTGCTTTTTAATAGCCCTGTGGATTCAGGCTTGTCTGAATTTGAACCGTGGCTCTAACTAGTAGCATGATCTTGGATTTCACTTCCCAAGGCATTTCCCCACTGGAATAATAATCTCTCCCTAAAAGGATTTAAAAAGATAGCATATACTTAGCAGTTGGCCTTAGGAGTTACCTAGTTCATGATCTTTTCAAAGGAAACAGAATACTGGGGGAGGAAGGGGGAGGGAGGAAACCCCGGTATCAAATATAGCAAAAAGTAAGGAAGAAGTTGCAGACTAATGACTAGAATGAACCCTGGGGATTATTCATTGATTTTAATTATCCAAGCTACTGCCTATCGCCACAGTTAATCAAGAAGCATGAGTCAGCATCTGGCATACCCGAACGAGGTAATGCAGGTTCATGTTTTTCTTCCTCCCTAGAAGATAAATAAAGAACTCCTTTTCTTTATTTCAGTGACAAAATGTTCCCAGCCTTTGGATTTGGTGCCAGGATACCCCCAGAGTACACGGTGAGTGAGTAGAGATGCTTTGCTGTCTCTAAAAAATAATTTGAGTTTCCTTCCCAGGAGTCTCTGTTCTTTTGGCCCTTGGTATAATTATGTAACTAGGGTCCAAAGGCTCAGAAATGGTTTTCAGAACCCACTAGATTAGGTCCTCAGACCCTGACTTTTGATAAAACCCAATCTCCTGGTATTCTGGTTGTTTATCTCAGAGTTCCAAATAAAAGCATTCATTGCTTAGCTTCTTACAGATATGGTCAGAGATGGAGAAAACACTCAGGATGTTGATCTTCAGTGGTTCAAAACCTCTCTATTCAGCCAGCCTTTTTGAGAAAGATCCTATTGATAACACCAACTGAGGAAGTCCATGACAATTAAGTCCACAATCACCCTCATCCTAGCTCTCTGAGCATCAGTCTTGTGTGCGATACACAGAGAAGTCCTAAGCTAGAACCACCCTGGCTTAGAGAATTGAAAAACTAAAAGCTTCCTATGAGGGCATTGGAATCCTATTTGGTTTTGTTTTTAGGGCATTTTGTTTTCCTCTTTATTTTCTTTTTTCCCATCACCACTTATCTCCCCCCTCCCGCCCCCCTGCCCCTATACCTTCTTCCACCCAATCCCAACCCCCATAATCACCATACTGATTTGGTTTTAATACTTACTTCCATGACTCAAAGAAGGCAAAGATTGTGCAGAGAGATGTGCACCGTACTGAGGTATACTGGATGTCCTGTGGGACATTCCACAGAGAATTCAACTCCCCGGGTGGGAGGGCCTTGGAGGGGCAGCAGAGTTTCTACCCCAGCCTCACCCAGGCCTCTGAGGTCCAAGTTAAGTGCAGGCAACACTGTCCAGGCACCAACTTCTCTCTTACTGGCTGTGTCTCAGTTGCATGGCAGGAGTCAGATGGAACATTTCCTCCCACACCAGAGCTGTTAGACCACGGCCCTTCCCCTTCTGTGTTCTTTTTGAAAGAGAGAATCCCTCTCCCTGTGACCACTGAGAGATCAGTGGATGGAATGGCGGGTCCCCTGACCTGCCCTCCTTGTCTGCCTTGTATTCTCCCCGGGCCTCGCTGCTGGGCATGCCTACAGAATTCTAGAAGCATTTGTTGGAAATAGAGCACATGGGGAGGAAGAATACAGAATAGGAGCTGTTGACTGGTGGCCTGTAGACATTATTCGGGCCACAAATGTCTGATAGTTGACACACAATTTTTTTTTAACTTTTACATATTGTTGAAAGTATTACAGATGTCTCTGTTTTCCCCCTATTGATTCTTTCTAGCCCACCCCTGCCCCCTACCTGGCCCAGTGGTCGGGTGTCTTTCTACCTATGAACCAGGAGGCATGGTTCAATTGCTGGTCAGGGCACATGCCTGGGTTGCAGGCTCGATCTGCAGTGGGGGGTGTGCAGAAGGCCGCCAATCAGTGATTCTCTCTCATCATTGATGTTCCTAGCTTTTTCTTCCCCTCCCTTCCTCTCTGAAATCAATAAAAATATATTAAATTTTTAAAAAGCAGGTCTAGAGACCCAAGAAAACTTCAGGCAAATAAAGCCTGTAAAATGGATGGAAGTCAGCTGACTTGCCTAGGAGAGGGCAGGGGAATGTGGGCCAGGCACCAACCGCAGTGGTTCTGATCTCCCACCAAGAGAAGAGAGTATTTTAACACAATAACTAATGACCGTTTTCTAGCCCCCAAGAGAGCCAGGGCTAGGAGATAACATTTGAAATGGGAGTCTCTGTAAAATCCCAAATGATCCCCTAATGTCCAGGTGCCAGGACAGTCCTCCTGTTTTTCCCAGGTTTTAGAAAAAAGAAGTAAACATGTCACCTTCTGGTAGGCCCTGGCAGCTAGAGGAATCTGTTGGAATATTACAAGATACGTGATTTTATCACTTTTCCAAAAGTAGAGTCTCTTTTACCTGCCTATATGGGCAAATCCTGCTGTCCAATAGCTCTGCATAGTGTGTTAGAATGAGTTTTAAATGTCAACAGCTTAGAGGGAGCTATTATAACCGTCACTACTTTGAGCAAACGGGGTGACAAGTTACCTTTTTTTTAAATCACTGGGTCCAAGCAGAGCTCAGCCCAATCTTAGCCTCCAGTCTGTGGCCAGTTCTTTCTGGGGTTACATATTTTTCTGAAATGTTATCTTAGCATTTTTTATATGCATCATTCTCCCCTCCTGCCAGCATTTATCTGATTCTAGAAAAATTTCCTGTCACTTTAACTCCACAGGGAGCTCACAATTCATCCTCCATCTCAGACTGACTCTGAGGAGGCTTAGAATGATTCCTGGGGCTTGACACCTAATGAATGGAATGGGCATTTGTTTGCAGACTCTTCCGCCCAGGGCCTCCTTCCTGGATTAAAGTTTTAATTCTCCTTCTTTCCTTCTTTTTCATTTTAATTGGTGTCTAGGTCTCTCATGACTTCGCAATCAACTTTAATGAAGACAACCCAGAATGTGCAGGTAAGTGACGATGTGAAACAATGCCAGTGTCTCGCAGCCCTTTTGTTTGCACATTTCCCATTTTAGTTTCCTCTGATGCAGTCAATTCGTGAGCATTGTCCATAGCAGAGGAGTAGCTTTCTAGATCTAAATAGACCACGCTACTCTAAAGGCAACAGAGAGCCATAATGACAGCAGAAAACTAAGAGTGGGAAAGGCAGGATGAAGAAGAGGTCATGAGTTTACAGCAAGAATGTTGATCCCCATTCTGGATCCCTCTGGCCAAAAACAGGACCAGTGTGCTATTTCAGGATAGAAGGGGATATAGCAAGAGCTGACATAGGCACAGACACCAAAAGGAGCCATGTGAATACAATTCATCAGTAATGGGACTCTTGTGGGCTCGTGGACATACCTTTATATGTTCAGGCAAGACTCATAAAATGCTAGGAGAAGCTACACTATCAGGGCTGTTCCTTCCAGCAGTCTCACCCTTTACTATTTCCTTGGGTCATGTGGTCTCAAAATGGAAATCCCCTTTAAATGAGAGGTTGACCATAATGATGTCATTCATCTGTACCACAGTCCCCAGCAGACAATTTTGCCCATTCATCACACACTTGGTGTGCCTGACCTACCTCAAGATCTTTGAAGGAGTTAGTCACAATACCTGCCCACAAGGACTTCAATATTTGGAATGATGGTCACACATGACTCCTATAAGTGGAATAGGGTGATATACACTACAACAGCGTCAACAAGGTAGTGTAAACACTAGAGAGGCCTTAACGCTGACTTGCCCAATGGCTAAGAGCATGGTCCTCAGAGCCAGGCAGACCTGGGTTTCAATCCCGAGCCTGTAATTCATTTGCTGAGTGACCTGGGACAGATCATGTAACCTCTCTTAAGTCTCAGTAAAATGGGCATAACATCTATTTCATTACAGTACGAGAATCTAATGAAATCTTATGGGTAAAGTAGGATATTAGGGAAAAGCTGATGGAAAGGATTGCTTTTTAATTAAGCCGTTAAAGAGAATGATTTCAGTTGGGGGTAGAGGCAGCAGTGTAATATTTTTAATCTTAAGAACATAAATGTGATGTTAAGGAGGACATTGGGGGAATTTAATGCTTTATCTGTGTGTGTGTTTGATTACAAATCTACTTGAGGAGACTACTGAGCTACTGATCTTTGCCAACTTCATCTTAGGAATTCAAGGAGTTGTGGAAGCCTATCAGAGCTGCCTTCCGAAGCTCCAACTCTATGGTCCCACCAACATCGCCCCCATCATTCAGAAGGTGGCCAAATCGGCATCAGAAGAGACTAACACCAAGGAGGCATCGGTAAGGAGAGAGGCAGTTTGCCTGCTAATGGGAGATTGCCCTTTCCAACTGGATATTGGTCATAGCACCCATCCCGTTCTGACAGTACATTACAGCATGTGTGAGTTTGTACAAGCGACTTCACCTTCTCCTAACCTCAGTCTCTTCATCTGAAAACTGGGGATAACCATGCCCATCTCTGCTGGTTATTGTGAGGCTTAGAGATGACACATCTCCAATGTCTGCAGCATTAGCTGGACAGAGTGGACACTCAACAGTGGAATTGACTTTATTTAGAGGAGTATCAGGCAGACCCACATTGTGTTCTTAGGAAGATAACAAGAACTGTCCAAAATAAACTTGCTTCCCAATGTACCCAAATTATAGATGAAACTGACAAAAAAGTAAATACTTCTGTCCCTTGGTGGTTAACTACAACAACACAAAACCTCATCGCAAAGAATTGTTTTGTATTCTATTTGTGGTTTTTCTTAAGAAAAATGCAAACCAAAGTGTGTGTTTTTTTCATACTCGGAACTATAAAGCTACTTTTTCCCAGCCCTGTATATTACCATAATAACTTTTCTATGTATCATTTTAATGACATCAATATATTTCTTTTTTAGCTTTGTGACTTCTTTCAGATTTAGCAGAACATTGCTGATGTCTGACATTTTCTCTGTGATTTTATCCTGGCTTCCAAGATATTGCATTTTCATAAAGAAAGTGATATACTGCTCCCTCATCTTCTTACATCAACTCAGTTAGCCTACTTGCACTGCATCCTGTTCTCACCTTCCCTTATGATAGAGTGGATGGAGGACCATGCTCATATATAATCCCAGCCTCTTCTTTTGCATTTTGGAGCCATCTTCTCTGAATCATCCAAGGACATTGACCTACCAACTATCTCTCATCTATTTTTTCCCTTTCTACTTAAGACTTATTTTTATTAGCAAACAACACATCCTATAATATCTTCTGTTTAAGTTAAAATATTTCCCTTGACACCACTTTACCCTAGCCACTACCCCTTATTTTATCTCCCTTTAGAGCAAAATTCATTTAAAAATTTGCCTACACTTGGTTCCTCTACCTATACAAATCAGACTTTCCTCCCCAACATTCCTCTGAAACTGCACTTGTCAAAATCAACAGTATCTCCATCTTGCCAAACCCACTAAGGCCTTGGAGCAAGTTTGAATCTTCACAAGATGCAAGATTTGGGGATAAGTGTTGGGCAGGGTCACTATTTCATTTTATGTTTTAACATTTTTTTCTCATCAGATCTTCAAATTCTTCAAATGATATGTTACTCAGAAACCAAAAATCTAATATAGATTTTAAGAAAAACTTGTTAAATTTGGACTAAGAGATGGGGTCCAAACTTTTGTCCTTCTCCCCTTATATCCCCAAGAGCATCCAAAGTGTCCCCAGGGCACCCCAGAGCCCATATAGAAAACAGAAATCATCTCTAGTTTCTGGGGTAGCAGGAACTAGAAGAGAAAAAAGAGAACAGACCTGGATTTAGGCCTGGTATAAGCCATTAGTTTTTGCCCATGATTCACTCCCCCAGGGACCACTGACTCTCCCAGGGGCAGGTAATCTGCTGAGTAAGAACAGGCCAGGAAATGGTACGAGAATGGTCTGATCCACATATCCCCAAACAACTGACCCTTAGAGTCCAGAAATAACGGTTCTTTTCCCCAGCCATTTCTCCTGCTCTTTAAACAATGTGTGATCTTGGACCCCTTGTTATCACTGATAGCTAAGGGGCTTACACTTGAACTTCTTGGGCAAGTTGTGTCAAGGTCTGGATGTAGGATTTTCTCCTAGACCTTGTGGAACTCTTCTAGAAATTAAAAAAAAAAAAATATATATATATATATATATATATATATATATATATATATCCTCCATATTTGAACAGAACCCCATATACATTCAAAGACTATCCTGTTTCATCTGTGAGCATTTCCCCGGCCTGGCTTTGGAAGTAACTGTTACAGTAGCTTTATTGGGAATTTGCATTAGGCCTTTGATCTGACAGTCTGCAGCCTAGGACCTCTGGCTAGATTAACACTGGATCAGATTCTAGAATCCTGATAATCCCTTCAGATCAAGAGTTCTTAACCTTTTTTGTCCCATGGACCCCATTAGCAGCTGATGAAGCCCATTGGCCCCTTGTCAAAAGTATTGTTAAGTGCACAAAATAATCTCATTTTAACATGTACATAAAAATTATTAACAAAATATTTTACACTTTTCTTTTTACACGATGTCTTCAAAATCCAGGGTGTATTTTACACCTGCATCATCTTCATTTGGGTGCTAAATTATCATCACAAATACTTGATCTTTATTTAGACTTTATAAATTGATAGCTGAGAAAGTACATTCACATATTTGAGTTGTTTCAAACATTCTTAAAAGACTTCGGATAACTGAATCGGGTATCCATTTTTAAAGTTAAATTTATTAAAAGAAAATGAAATTTAAAATTCAGGTCCTCCATTGCTCTAGTCACATCTCAGGGGCTCCACAGTCACATGGAGATCATGGCTATTGCCTTGGGCAGGGCACCTTTAGACTTCTCCAAGCTGAAGAGGCAATTACAAGCAATCTAGTCCCAACCCTCATCTGAGAGATGAAGCTGAACCCCAGAGGAATTAAAAGGTATTTTCCCAGGATCTCAGAAAATGAGGCTTTGTCATCCATCCTCCTGACTCCTTGCTGCTCTGTCAACCATACTGTTTCATAACAGTCACTAAGGTGATTATTAGAATTAATCTACAACTATTGTGCCTGCCTTTCAGTCCTATTCATCATAACCTTAAGTTTTTAGGACTGCCTACACACAGGTACTCAAAAAAATCTGTTGTCGCTGTTGCTGTAGCCAGTATGCACTGAAGGCACCTGATATTGTCCTTGTCTCCCCACCTCTTGGTCCTGGCATCTGACCCATCGCAGCAATACTTCATCCTGCTGATTCTGACCGATGGTGTCATCACAGACATGGCTGACACCCGAGAGGCCATCGTCCACGCCTCCCACCTCCCCATGTCAGTCATCATCGTAGGAGTGGGCAACGCTGACTTCAGCGACATGCAGATGCTGGACGGTGACGATGGGATCCTGAGGTCACCCAAGGGAGAACCTGTCCTTCGAGACATCGTCCAGTTCGTGCCCTTCAGGAACTTCAAACATGTAAGCATATCTCGGGGCTTCCCATGAGAGGGCAGGACCAAAACCAACTCACTCCTCTTCAAGGAAGGATGTGTGTGTGTGTGTGTGTGTGTGTGTGTGTGTGTGTGTGTCTCATGGAGAAGGCTGAATGCACTGCCCTTGTGTTCATCAATGAGGCTATTGACCTGCCTGATGCCCATGGTGGGGAGAGGGGTGCTCTTTCAGGCTGTGATGTCCTCTCCATCTGGTCAGCAGAACACAGTAGCCATGTCACTGAAACATGACCTATAACTGCCTGAGTGAAGGGTCAAAGAACTTACGCCCTGGGAGATTCATGCACTTCCCAAACCACCCTGCCCTGCCACACACACACACACACACACACACACACACACACACATATCAGTGTCTCAAAACAATGCAGCTGAGCTCTAGCCTCCACCCCAAGCCTTCTCCTCTCATGGAGTATCCACTGTGTGCAAGGCATGTGCTAGCATTGGGGCCACAGCAAGGTGAGAAAGCCGTGGGTCCAGGCTGCAAGGAATGAACTGGGGGGCTGAATAGTTAGGACCCAGGGGTCAGCAGAAATATCTGTGGATGACTGAACGGGGCTAAAATGTTGCTACGGGACTTCGGAGCAGAGAGAAGTCGCCATGAGGAAAGCCCTGCAGCTTGAACTGGGTGTGTGAGGAAGGACAGGGCCTTGGTAAGCCGGGAGTGGAGGGTATCAGCCAAGGGACCTGCCCTGATCTGATTGGAGCGAGAAAGTGGCACGTTCACCATGTGGGCTGCACAGTCTCCAGCTGCTCAGAATGCCAGGAGCATGTCATCCACCTTATCTTCATGGATTTCAAATTAGATTTTGAAAACCATTTCATTATCCAGACTACACTGAATTCAATAAGCCATAAATAAAATGAAAGGTGAGGGACTGATGCATTTCATATTAGCCCGTCACCCAGGAGCCGTCTCTCTTTTCCTGCTCTGCATGATAGCTCAGGGCTTTGAAGCGGACAGGGCACTGGCTCTGAGCTGTGTGATTCTGGGCAAGTTACTTAACCCCTCTGTGCCACAGGTGTTCATCAGGACCATGGGGCAAACGACACACGCATTGTGAGATTGAAGGTGGAGTCTTCACAGGGCTTAGCACAGCACTTGGCCTGTGTAGGTGATTGATAAATACAGCTGTTCTTGCCGGCTGCTTTCACAGTTTTGGCCTTTTCCTAACCCAACTGATATCTCCCAGCCCCTATTTGCTCACCAGATCCACAAGCACATGTGTGCAAAAAGGTGGGAGAATCACTTAGGCTCTGTGCTGTCCCACTCAGTAGCAAATAGCCACATGTGGGTATTTAAGTTTAAATTCATTATAATTAAATAAAAATTTTAAATGACTTTGTCAGTTGCATGAGCCACATTTCAGGAGTTTATTCATTGTGTGTGTCTAGTGACTGCCATATTGGACTTTCCTTCCTTGTAACAAGTTCTATCTGACAGCACTGTTGAGAAAAGTTTTTGACTCCAAATAACAGTAAGTCCATCTTCCAGTGGATTACATGAATGGTTCTTAACTAAGGGTGAGTTATTCCCCGGGGGACACTTGGCAATATCTGGAGACATTTTTAATGGTGACAGTGTGGAGTGTCTAACTCACACCTAGTTGGTAGTGGCCAGAGATGTTGGTAAACATCCTGCAATGCACAGAACAGTCCCCCCAACAAAGAATTATCTGGCCCAAAACAGCAGTAGAGTTAAAGCTGGGAAACCCTGGATTACATAAGTACAAACATGCTTTTCTTGTGTAGCTAGAAGTTAGGGACCGGGGGCTGCTGACATCTGTGTTTTTAGTGATTCGATGGTGTCAGGGCGAGCACTTGGTGATCCCCTTGGTGATAAGATGATTGCCATGGCTCCAGGAATCATATTTCAGTTCAAGGTAAAGAGGAAGAGGAAAGGGACACAGAGCCAACCATGTCTGTCCTCTTTAACCAAGAAGAAAAGCTTTCCAACATCCCCCAGGAAAGTAATATCTGTCTCAAAGATGAAATTAGATCACATGAACCTCCCTAGATGGAAGGGAGGCTAGGAAATCACATATTTGGCTTTGTAGCTTTTCTATGAGAGGTGGCCAGAGAGAAGGGGTAGAAGTGACTTTTTATATGCCCCAGTGTACACATGGATCATGAATAACACACAATCTTGAGCAGTTATTTATAAAATAAAAGCATTCATGGATGTCAAATGTCCAGCCAGCTGTATGGCATCTCTAACATGTAAAGAATCATTTTATTATTTTAAAATATGATTTTATTGATTTTAGAGAGAGAAAAAGGGAGAGGGAGAGGCATCAATGTGAGAAAGAAACTGATTGGCTGCCTCCTGCATGCCCCTTACTGGGGGTTGAGTCTGCAACAGGGCATATGCCCTGACTGGGAATTGAACCCTGGAACTTCTGATGCATGGGGCAACATTCAACCAACTGAGCCACACCAGCCAGGCATGATGAATCCTTTTAGAAAAACTCCTCACAGTGTTTTCAGATTGTTGTTAAGATAGGTCTTTTATTTTGAGCCTCCTAAAAACTCAGTGAGGTAGAATCAATGCTTATTCTTTCCCATTTTGTCTCTGAGAACAACAGGGCTCAGCAAAGCTGAATGGCTGAGTGACAAGCCACATAGGAAGGAAGGAGCTAGCAGCCAGGTCACCTGGCATTTAGTTCACTCCGTTTCCTTCCGATCTTTCTGAGGCACCTCAAACACTTGTTAACTTGTCACTCTGCTTCAGATTTTCAATCTCTTTCATACTTATAATGGGGTTTGAGCAATTTTTCTTGCTCAGAGGATGAGCAGTTAGCACTGAATACCAACAGTCCAGGCAGAATATCAACCAACCTCCGCCTTCATCTGCCTCAAAACATACAGTGGAGTCACAATGCTGGTAGAATAATGGCTACATTAATTAGCATGGAGGTACTCAATACGCTCCATCACCTGGCTTCAAGCTTATTTTCCAACTGAATGCCCCACCAATCTGCATTTGCAACACATACCCACTTCTGTACCATCAGATGACTTCTTGTCCCTAAAATAATTAAATGCCAATCCCCTGCTTCTCTACATTTTAAAACATACCCAACTTAAATGCCACCTCCTCTTGGAAGCCTGCTCTGATTTCCTCCAAGATGACTTAGTCTCTTTGCTTTCTGTCTTCTGGTCACACAGTGTTTGTGACTCTGGAGCAGTGCTTCTCAAATTTCATATGCACAGGAATCATGGGCATCAAATTAAAATGCAGATTCTGATTCAGAAGCTCAGGGATCGGTCTAACATTCTATGTTTCTAATATGCGCCCAGGTGGTGTGATGCTGTTGGTTTGTGATATATGTTATATTTTACCTTAAAGTGGGGTTAATTTTGGCTCCTCTCACATGATGCTAACTTCCCTAACAGTAAGAATAATAGACCCATAAACCCTAGCACAGTGCCTGGATCATAAATAAGTGTCTAGAATTGAATATAAATCAGAAACAAAAGTGCAAGACAGTTCATTATGAAACCTAATTTTCACCCATATTTCAGATGTGAATAGTTTGATATTTTAAGACAGGCATGCAAAAATAAAATTAGGGAATTAATGGTTCAGGTTCCCACAACCTGACAACTCTTGGTTGGAGGCCCTTGTCAAATGCTGACTGAATGAATGAATGAATGAATGATGAGAGAGAGACTAGCTGCTAAGAATAGGACTCAAGCCTGTTAGGCCGATTCTCAGCTTCCTCTGGCCAGCTGCCAAAATCATGGTGATTTCTTCTTCCCTGTAGGCATCTCCAGCTGCCCTGGCAAAGAGTGTGCTGGCTGAAGTCCCAAACCAAGTCGTGGACTATTACAACGGCAAAGGGATTAAGCCGAAATGTTCATCAGAAATGTATGAGTCTTCCAGGACACTAGCACCATGAACTCCACGCACTTTTACAGAGTTCTGAAATACTACTCCTGCTAATATTTACTACTTCTACTACTCATGTACTTTAAAAAAGCCACACATTTAAAAACTAGCACGGTTTGGTGATTTTTAACTAACTGGCCATTTATTTTATTTTATTATTATTATTATTTATTTTTTTGCATGTGTAGCCATGAGGTCTGGATCTGGTAAGCCCTTGTATTATTCAAAACTTTTTACAAAGAAACACAAATAATTCCAACTTACTCTTTACATTACAGCATGTCGACTTGAAATAAAATGGTATCTGTATCCATTTTTTATACAGGTTTGTTGAAATTTTGCTAAATTTCTTATTATCTTTACACTGTAAAGCATTTTGAAACAACTACTGAATGTCGATAGCCAAAACATGTTTGGTTTTATCTGCTACGGGATGAGAGACTTTTCAAAATGGTAGATGCATGGACTGTATTTTGCATGTTTAAAAGACAAAAACACAAAACACAACACCCACACTGTTTTTGCAGTTTTACCTATAATTCATCCCTGCTGAGAATGGTCTCTCTGCTGATGAAGAGAAGCAGTCTCCTAGGAGTAGTCTTCTTGATGGGGGTCTAGGGCACTTAGCCCAGCACCTCTCAGACTTTACTGGGCATCTTGTCAAAATTTGGACCGTGATGCCATAAGTATGCATAGGCCCCAGATTCTGCCGCTCTGACAATGTCTAGGGCAAGCATGTCAAACTCAAAGGCTAACATGAGCCAAATGAGGCATGCAGCCTGCAGGCTGTGATTTTGAGATGCTTGACCCAGGGCAGTGGTCAGCAAATCACAGCTTACAAGCCACATGCGGCTCTTTGGCCCCTTGAGTGTGGCTCTTCCACAAAATATCACGTGTAGGCGTGCATGTACAGTGTGATTGAAACTTCGTGGCCCATGCGCAGAAGTCGGTTTTCGGCCTGGGCGAATCTATTTTGAAGAAGTGGCATTAGAACACTCAAAGGGCCAAAGAGCCACATGTGACTCATGAGCCGTGGTTCGTCGACCGTGACCTAGGGGAAGCCAGTGCAGTCCTCCTATCGAACTGAGGATACTGAGCTTCTAGATGTTAGGGTATGATTTTAGAGACCATCTGAACCAGGGCAGGCCCTAGTCTGCTTGAGAATGGCACCTCTTCCCCATCAGTAGCACAAAGGTTGCCTGTCTCTGAGGAGGGAGTAGAAAGTAGTGAGACTGATTCCAGAAGCTGCACACCAAACACTTCAGCCTCACTGCTTTGTAGTCCCACCTCTTCCTTACACAGATGAGCAAGTATTCCCCCTGGCCAGCTCCTGACCTCTTAAAGGAGGCATCTCACTTCTTGCATGGATGATGCCATGTTTACGTCAACCCCAAAGAATGCCCTCCAAAAGTCTTTGGTAGAACCATGACAATGGAGACTTGGCCATGGCAAAGGGCTGTAGGGTGTCACTCCCCAGAAATGTGGCCCACCGCGTTGATTTTTTAAGCTGAGTCTGGGGCTTCTTTTTGCCTCTTTTTATCACTCCGGAGAGCAAACTTTATCAGCAGAAATGCCTAGAATCATTGTGTTAGGTGGTGGTGTTTTGTTTTGATATAAAATGGCCAGTTTTGGACCAGAAGAATGAATGTTTCTCTTGTGTAATCTTCTCACAGGCAAATGAACAAATATGTTTTACAGCATAAGAGGCACAAGACAGTCAGCAAGATAGGGAGGTCAATCGCAAGGTGAAATAGATCTGTATGTTGTTTGTTTGTTGAGGGGGGACATATTATCAAGCAAATCAAATAGGCTTTGTATAATTTCCAGTATTATAATTATAGATTCTAACCTTGCAAATACATGTCAACCAAATGCACAACATTTTGGGAATGGTGGGGAAAATTATGACTGAAAAAAAATCATAAATATTTAAACTGTATTGTTTTATGAATAAATTGGGTACTTACAGAATTATTTTTAAGAGTTATGGTCTTGTTTCTCTTTTCAAGGCTTTTTTTTTTTTTTACCAGTGATTTATTTCATGTCAGTGACATGACTTCAGATTAGGACTAGGTCTTTCAAGGTCCCATAAAAACATGGATCATTATTTTTCATAGACAATGTTTAGGTTCTGTCCTATAGAAATATCTGACAGTTGTTGCTAGCCCCAAACCAGGACATGAGTTTCTTTGTCTGTATGCCTGGAACAAAGTAGGCACTCAATAGATATTTAATGAATAAAGAGATGACTAATCAAAGGAATGAATACATGAATGAATGAAGGGACTTATTAATATGCCTCATAAACAATCCCAGTTTAACAAGTATTGTAGATTGAGTGGCTGTGGCTGTCAATCAAAATGATGCACCATGTCATCCTCAAATACATGTTGAGATCTATTACATTCATGTCAGGACTTTCTGGGATCTGTGAGATGGAGTGACAGAGACAGAATTCACTTTTCCTGGCAGTATGTTATGAGAGTTTACTACCTTTTTCATAGGCAGACTGAAACCCAGCTCAAAAGAATAATTTTTTTTAAAAAAATGGAGGGCTTACTGTATGCCATCCACTGTTTTATTTTTTAATTTATTTTTTCTTTTAAAATAAATCTTTATTGCTCAGATTATTGAAATTGTTTCTCCTTTTTTCCCTCATAGCTCCCTTCCACCCAGTTCCTGCCCCACCCTCTGCCCTTACCTCCCCCCTCTCCCCCCCTGCCATTGTCCTCATCCATAGGTGTATGATTTTAATCCAGTCTCTTTCTGCACCCTCCAGCCATCCACTGTTTTAAATGCTTGTCACATACTATCTCATTTAATCCTCCTAACAGCCCTAAAAGGTAAGTAGTAGTATTAGCCTCATTTTGCAGATAAGGAAACTAAGACAGAGAGGTTAGGTAACTAACCTAAGGTCACACAGCTATCAAAAGGCATGGATACTCGACTCCTGAGCTCAAATACATTTTGCATATAGTTGATGGTACTATATCCATCCATTGCACTATCAAGCAGCAGATTCTTTTTTTTCTATTTTTTTATTAAATTATTATCTGTGTACATATTTTAACACCCCCCCCCATACATACTCTACCTCCCCAGAGTTTTGTGTCCATTGGTTGTACTTACATGCATGTATACAAGTCCTTCAGTTGATCTATTATCTCCCCCAGATCTCCCTATCCTCCCCGCTGTAATTTGACAGTCTACTTGTTGTTTTACTGTCTCTATCTTTTGGTTCATCCGTTTATAATGTTCTTTATTATCCATAAATGAGTGAGGTCATGTGGTATCTCTCTTTCATTGACTGGCTTATTTCACTCAGCATGATGTTCTCCAATTCCATCCAGGTTGCTGCAAATGATGAGAATTCCTTCTTTTTTATGGCAGCATAGTATTCCATTGTGTAGATGTACCATAGTTTTTGGATCCAATCATCTGCTGATGGGCACCTAGACTGTTTCCAAATTCTAGCTATTGTAGATTGTGCTGCTATGAACATAGGGATGCATATATCCTTTCTGATTGGTGTTTCTAGTTTCTTGGGATATATTCCTAGGAGTGGGATTACTGGGTCAAATGGGAGTTCCATTTTCAGTTTTTTGAGGAAACTCCACACTGTTCTCCACAGTGGTTGCACCAGTCTGCATTCCCACCAGCAGTGCACGAGGGTTCCTTTTTCTCTGCAACCTCGCCAACACTTGTCATTTGTTGATTTGTTGATGTTGGCCATTCTGACAGGTGTGAGATGGTACCGCATTGTTGTTTTTATTTGCATCTCTCGGATAATTAGTGATTTTGAGTATGTTTTCATGTGCCTTTGGCCTTCCTTCTGTCTTCTTTTGAGAATATTATATTTAGGTCCATTGCCCATTTTTTAATTGGATCACTCATCTTCCTTTTATTTAGTTGTATAAGCTGTCTGTAAATGTTGGAGATTAAACTTTATCAGTGGGAACATTTGCAAATATGTTCTCCCACACAGTGGGCTTTCTTATTGTTTTGTTGATAGTTTCTTTTGCTGTAAAAAAGCTTTTTATTTTGATGTAGTCCCATTTGTTTATTTTCTCTTTAGCTTCCATTGCCCTAGGGGCAGTATCAGTGAAGAAGTTCTTTTGGCATATGTCTGAGATTTTGCTGCCTGTGAATGCTTCTAGTATTTTTATGGTTTCCCGTCTGATATTTAAGTCCTGTATCCATTTTGAGTTTATTTTTGTGTATGGCATAAGTTGGTGATCTAGTTTCATTCTTTTGCATGTATCTGTCCAATTTTCCCAACACCATTTATTGAAGAGACTGTCTTGACTCCATTGTATATTCGTGCCTCCTTTGTCAAATATTAATTGAGCATAGTGGTTTGGGTTGATATCTGGGTTCTCGATTCGATTCCATTGATCTATATGTCTGTTCTTGTGCCAGTACCAGGCTGTTTTGAGAACAGTGGCTTTGAAATACAGCTTGAAGTCTGGTATTGAGATCCCTCCTATTTTACTCTTCTTTCTCAGGATTGCTGTGGCTATTTGGGGTCTTTTATTGTTCCAAATGAACTTTTGGAGAGTTCTTTCTAGGTCAGTGAAATATGCCGTTGGTATTTTAATGGGGAGTGCATTGAACCTATAGATTGCTTTAGGAAGTATGGACATTTTGATGATGTTGATTCTACCAATCCATGAGCATGGTATGTTCTTCCATCTCTTTACATCTTCCTCTATCTCTTTTTTCAGTGTAGTGTAGTTTTCCGCAAATAGGTCCTTTACTTCCTTAGTTAAATTTATTCCTAGGTATCTTAATTTTTTTGGTGCGATGGTAAATAGAATTCCTTTTTTAGTCTCTGTTTCTGTAGTTTCACTGTTGGTGTATAGAAATGCCATGGATTTCTTGGCGTTAATTTTGTATCCTGCTATATTGCCAAATTCATTTATTAAGTCAATTAATTTTTTAATGGAGTCTTTTGGGTTTTTTTATGTACAATATCATGTCATCTGCAAATAAGGATAACTTTACTTCTTCCTTTCCAATTTGGATACCTTTTATTTCCTCTTCTTGTCTAATTGCAATGGCTAGTACTTCCAGTACTATGTCAAACAGGAGTGGCGATAGTGGGCATCCCTGTCTTGTTCCTGTTCTTAGAGGGAATGGTTTTAGTTTTTGCCCATTGAGTATGATGTTGGCTGTGGGTTTATCGTATATAGCTTTTATTATGTTGAGGTATGATCCTTGTACTCCCACCTTGTTGAGAGTTTTTATCAGGAAAGGGTGTTGAATTTTGTCAAATGCTTTTTCTGCATCAATTGATATGACTATATGATTTTTATTTTTCATTTTGTTTATGTGATATATCACCTTTATTGATTTGCGGATATTGCACCATCCTTGCATTCCTGGAATAAATCCTACTTGGTCATGGTGTATGATCTTTGTGATGTTCTGCTGGAGCCGATTTGCTAGAATTTTGTTGAGGATTTTGGCATCTATGTTCATGAGAAA